AGCTGTCAAAACAATAAAAACAAATATTTTATCTTGTGTGCAACATTTTTTTTTTCAACGATGGAAAATTTTGAAAATTGGAGAAAAAACAGCATTTACGGGAAGTTTTACTCGGCCATTTTTTTTCAATGAAAACTGCTGCTGACAGTCATCGTTTGCTTGAGGAAACTTATGGTAAACATGCTCTATCAAAAACCCAATGTTACGATTGGTTTCAACGCTTCAAAAGTAATGATTTCGATGTCCGTGACAAAGAAAATCCTGGACATGAGAAAAAGTTTGAAGATGAAGAATTGGAGACATTACTCGATGAAGACCCATGTCAAACGCAAGAAGAACTTGCGAAATCATTGGGAGTTACTCAAGCAGCTATTTCACAACGCTTAAAAGCATTGGGTTTCATTCAAAAACAAGGAAATTGGGTGCCACACGAATTGAAACCGAGAGACGTTGAAAGGCGGTTTTTAACTTGCGAACTGTTGCTTCAAAGACAGAAAAGGAAGGATTTTTTGCATCGAATTATCACTGGTGATGAAAAATGGATCCAATATGATAATTCCAAGCGAAAACTAGCCTATGTAAAGCGCGGCCAACTAGGACCATCGACAGCAAAACAAGATATTCATGGTTTCAAAGTGATGCTCTGTATTTGGTGGGATCAGTGGAGTGTCATTTATTATGAGCTACTAAAACCGGGTGAAACCATCACAAGGGATCGTTATCGACTACAACTAATACGTTTGAGCCAAGCATTGCGAGAAAAACGGGAGAAATACCTGCAAAGGTACGACAAAGTGATTTTGCTGCATGACAATGCTCGGCCACATGTTGCACAACGAGTCAAAAACTATTTGGAAGCAAATCGATGAGATGTCTTACCCCGCCATATAGTCCAGACATTGCTCCTTCCGACTACCACCTATTTCGATCGATGACGCATGGCCTGGCTGAGCAGCACTTCCGTTCTTTTGAAGAAGTCAAAATTTGGGTCGATGAATGGATAGCCTCAAAAGATGAGACGTTCTTTCGACGCGGAATCCGCATGCTACCAGAAAGATGGGAAAAAGTAGTGGCTAGCGATGGACAATACTTTGAATAATACACATTGTACCATTTCTTTACAATAAAGCATTCATTTTCACAAAAAAATTCCGGTTTTCAACTTATACTCCCAATAACATTCTGAAAGTTTGTGGAAATTCAAAAAAAAAATCAGGGCTACCTGCCATACAACATTTTTGTTTCTGGGCCTACTTTTTCAATTATCACCAAAATGGGCCCATCGAGAAACTTATCAAATGGATTTGTAGCGCTTGGATGAAACAATTGAAATATCTGTATCAAAATCATTTTCGTAGGCCATGAGGAGGTTATGGAACTGTTACTTAAAAATGGGGCTAATGTCAACAGTCAAAATATCCAAGGAGCGACGCCTTTGATGTTGGCTTCGCAATTAGGTAGTACAAATGAAATTAATGTCACTTCTTTCAAACCGTCAAAATGTTATACATGTTTGAATCTCTATTTCCACAGGTCATACTAATTTAGTTGAATTGTTGATAAGGAATGGTGCTGCCATTAATTGGAAAAATAGCTACGGCCAAAGTCCAATTTATGCCGCCTCTTTTAATGGTAACAAACTTCTTTAAATTTAAATATTTACTATGCTTTCTTTGTGCAGTATGTGTGAAAGAAAGCCCATTTTAAATTGAATTTTTTTTTTTATCAATTTAAGGTCATGATCGTTTCGTTGAAATATTAATCGCAAATGGTGCCAATGTAAATATAACAACCAATGACGGTTCTACACCAATACATGCAGCCGCTCAGGAAGGTAATTTGATATTCAATCAATTTTCTATAGATAACAAATGTTCAAAAATATTTATATCAAAATCATTTTCGTAGGCCATGGGGGAGTTATGGAACTGTTGCTTAAAAATAAGGCTAATATCAACGGTCAAAATAACAAAGGAACGACGCCTTTGATTTTGGCTTCGCTTAAAGGTAACTCAATTGAAAATGATGTCACTTTTGTCAAACCGTCAAAATGTTATAAATGTTTGAATTTCTGTCATCAAAAATGAAAATTCACTTAAACAATTTTTAATTCAGGCCGTGAAAACGTTGTTGCAATGTTAGTCCGAAATGGTGCTGGTGTTAACATTCAAGACGAGATTGGATGGTCACCACTGCATGCAGCCATAAATGGAGGTATCAAGATTAATAGTAATAAAATGTCTTACATACGTAAGATGAACTTTTCCGCACTGTGATCCACAAAATGCATTTATTACATATCTTTTACTTGAATTTGAGCTCACGAAAAACTGAATCTCATATTAGTTTAGCGATACACATAACTTTTGACACACTTTTTTAAATTACTTAAAATGGGAATTTTAGGATGGAATCAATCCTTGTATGATATCGTAACGACGTGAAACTTGGCACAGGGTATTTTTTCACAAAAAGCCGACATTCTGAAAGTTTGAAGAAATTTCAATGCATATTAAGGGTACTTCCCATACCAAATGTCGTTTTTGAGCGAAAAATCCAAATTTTTTTTCGGGAGGTACCCCTTATATGCATTGAAATGTCTTCAAACTCTCAGAATGTTATTTTTGTGTGATGGAAATAGCCTGTGCAAAGTTTCAGTTCATTACGATATCATACAGGCATGGCTTCCATACAAAAATCCAATTTTTTTGAAATTTTTGTATGAAAAGTGTGTCGAAATATATTTGTATCGAAAAACAAACGTCATATTCGGTTTTTTCGTACCCAAAAACCCCCCAATACATATTTTTGAGTGTTTAAGAATACATTAACCCTCCGTTGTTCACATGTCCGGCGAGTCACATTCGTAACACATGAGTCTGGCCAGACCCACATACATTTTATATGAAAAATGATGTAATTTGCATTCTCTCATGAGTAAACATCCGCGGATTGGCCAGATTTTTTATTTCAAAATGCTGCATGTGGTAGAGGGGTTCACGATATGACATTTGGGGCAAAAAAAAAAATTCCCAGTTTGATATGGTGCTAGATGTAGTGAATGCTGTAGAGCAGGTGGATCCGACCTGGTTCAAAGTGTTCTGGAAGTCGAGTGCGCGAGGGATTTCATCCCCAATGGGGATGAGCAATTTCGTTATTTTTTCGATTTTCCCATCGGAAATGCGAGAAAAATCGATTGGCAGTTTTTGATATAATATTCGAATATATTTATGTCATATTTCACCCAAATAATGGGGTCCTTGGA